TCCGAAAATGAGAATCGGACATAATGATATTTTGTATCAGTCATAATTCTGATGCAACGGCTACTTTTTTCTTTTCCGTAAGTGAATCATTTAATTGTAAAAATTATCTATGCAAGCAGATTTTAAAAAAAACAACAACACACACACACAAAACCCCACTTTTAAATGAACCAACTTCAGGGGAGGTAAGTTTTTGAAAAAGGTCACAGACTTCTTCATTAATAACTCAAGCTTCATTCACAGATTCGCGCATCTAAGATCACAATGGAAAAAGTATCAATGTAGGCCCTATTATTATAAAATATATTTTCCATTTATTATCTAACTCATGGAATAAATATTAATTAAAATCTTGTTTTTAAAAAAGAATTTCGATACGAACTTCGCTTTACTTATAGGTTTTAAAAATGGAAAATTAATAAATCACTTTTATAGCGCGCAGTTTTGACATCTCATTATACACTCGTCAGTGTAACTAAGTCCAAACAGAGTCCAGGTCTATCTATCTATCTGTCTGTCTGTCTCTCTCTCTCTCTCTATATATATATATATATATACTTATATCCCGGAGCGCCTCTGACTCCTCCCAGTTCTAATGGGTACCTGTTATTAGTTGAGGGAAGATATAGGTGGTTAGTCGTTACGCTGGTCAAATGGCACTCTCGTTAATCGTGAGCCATAAAAAAAAATAACCCATAGATCACTATGAATGGGAAATTTACTTAATGAATATATAAAAAAACAACAACTTGTAATTGAAAAAGGGTGACCGGTCACTTCATCCCCGGTCTTTTTATCCCCGGTCACTTCATCCCCTGGTCATTTCATCCCCTGGTCACTTCATTTCCCGGTCACTTCATCCCCTGATATTTTCATCATCTGATCAAATAGAGATTGGAGGGCGTGATACCAACCCACCACAGCTTTATTCGTTCTCGCAACACCACCTATTACGTCCAGGTATTTATTCCATGTACATGGAGGGAATAAAGCTGAAGCATAGTTATTTCCTCTGCCACGCTGTCAGCGACCACGTACATAGGTATGCTCGAAGTAGGATAACAGTTCCGGCATCCGATCGTGTTGTGGCATGGATTCGGCGAGTAATTCAAAGGAATCACTCATGTGTTCTTCACGTACATAGGCCAAAGCGGAAAGACATCTTACCATGCCATGTAACTCGTTACAACCGTCATAGTCACTTTTCTTGCCCAATTCATATACTTTACGTAATACAGCTTGACAGAGGTGAAAATAATGTCCCGTTTTTCTGCATGTCTGAAATTTCTCGTGTAAAGCTGTCATGGCGGCTTTCTCGAAGTCTGTAACAATAATTTCTAGTGTTACATTTGGTAGAAGTTCTTTAATTGCTTCCAGCAAATCTATCATACGTAACTCTGGTTTTGTCCAAAAGCAAGCTGTACAAAACACTGGTGGAATCACACCCTGAGCGTATTGAAAGTGAATTGTGTAGAGTTGATAAAATAAACAGGTGACAACCTTAAAAGTACCATCGGCAAACCAACATTTGCTACGCCGAGCCATTGTAGTAACTGTCGGTGACCGAAAACTAGAAATCGATTATTTTCGCTTTTCTCCAAGGAGTCGTATCATAGAAACTCTTTGTACACTGCTGGTACCTCAAAGTTTGCATCAGCCGGAAGAGATGACAAAGCTCTACCAACGTCTTGTTTCTGAGTCGTTCACGATGTCGTCTGAGAGTCCTGCTTATAACACTTTTTCTGGGCAAAGCCATCAGAACAGAAGGAGGTAACTCGACGATAACATTAGCCCCGGTATTGTTGTGGTTTCCGACATCTTCTCCTTCATTTTTTCTACTGCGTTCTTTGCAATGGCTTTATCACTGTTACATTCATGATTGTGAGTAGATGATTGATTGATTACATCATCCTGGGCAGTAACTAATGTTGCCGGGCATTTGTGAGTTTGATATTTGCTACATCTCCAGTTCATGTTTCCGTTCAGCGCCTTCTTCTTGAGCCAGAATTCATATCCTTCATAAACTAGGATAGATCTGCCTGTACAACTTAATGTGAACTCCAGAGGCATTGCTCTAACAGTTCGGGTAGCCAGGCAATGTTGGCTTTTTGAAATAGAGAACTGCTGATCACTTATGAAACCTAAAAACGACGCTGTGGAGGGGGAAAAAATACATCAGATAGACGCCTACTGGCAGAGAGAGAGAGAAAGAGTTAGAGAGAGAGAGAGAAACACCCTAAATATACATGCGAGATTATTTCCAATAAGCACTCAAACAATTAATTTTAAGGATATAGGGTATGTTCACATAACTATAGGCCCCCCACCAGTTTCGATATCTACGTTGAATATCAATAAACAAAATACATACTTACATTTACTTGTAGAAATGAAATATCCATAGAAATAAAGACCTATAACACAATTTGCAACTTTAATGTCTAAAAGGAAGTCAGCCTTTATTAGAAAAAAATAAAACCTTATTTCAAGGCTAGAGCGATTGAAAAATAAACTAAAGAGAAACATGGTCGTACTTTCACCACAGCTTGGCCTTTGATGATAAGTTATCAGCGGCACGGTCATAATTATTGTAATCACACTTCTATCTCTCAAAAGATTCCCACTACTTTTACCACATCTTGGCCTTTAATGATTAGGTATCAGCTGCATTGTCATAATTATTCTAATCGCACTTCTATCTCTCAAAAGATTCCCACAACTTGCACCACACCTTGGCCTTTGATCATTACGCTATAGATAAGTACACATCCAGATTTACCATAGAATATTAGATTTCTCATTAAGAATACAAAGTGGAAGAGGAAACTCTATAAACACATCAGTAATATGTTATAAAATGTCAAAAAAAAAGCATTCTACATAATCATATTTATATATAAAATATTTAATTGGGGATGAAATGACCGGGGAATGAAGTGACCGGGGGATGAAGTGACCGGGGATGAAGTGACCAGCTGATGAAATGACCAGGGGATGAAGTAACCGGGGACGAAATGACCGGGGATGAAATGACCAGGGGACGAAATGACCGGGGATGAAATAACCGGTGATGAAGTGACCGGGGATGAAGTGACCGGGAACCTTGAAAAAGTACTTATGTTTGATAAAAATTCATTTTGAAAGATTTAAACTTTAAAAGAGAAAAATTAATGTTATTATTATTATTATTATTATTGTGCCCAATGATTTTAAACATGTATTACTTTCAACGATCAAAACAAGACTATGGCTTGAATATTTCTGGTCCATTGGTGAATTCGATGGGGTCGCCTCTGAGTTTGTATTATGGCACAAACTCTCTTTGTAATCTTGTTTTTCTTGTCTATTGTTTACAGGAAATAGAGAACGATGCGAATCACAAAGAAAACTGAAACAAACTTAACGACTTCCAGCTTGAACACGTAATTTATTTACAGCTTAAACTTCTAAACATAGTGTGTGATGTCTAGACATGTTGAGGGTAAACCAACGGGAATGTCTTTCAAATATGAGCCCAAGAGACCAGAATATTCCACGTATGAACAGAGAATAGCCACATACACCACTTGGAACGTTGCTTTTATTTCACCCATAGATTTGGCTCTGGCCGGTCTTTGGTATCTGGGTAAGGGGCAATTGAGTTTTTGTAAAATTTATTTGAATATTTCAGCAAACCAATTAGGGCAGCTTAAAATTATTTGTCTATTTTTTAGGCCAATAATAGAATATGCATCCTCTGTTTAGGATCCTTCAACTCAAGAAACCATAAAGAAACTAGAACAGACACAAAATAGAGCTGTGAGATTCATAACAAACGAGTATTCACATTTGATTAGAGTAACACATTTAGTTAAGTCATTATATTCAGGAGAGAAGACTTAAAAGTTAAATAACACACCGAACCATAATCTTCAAATACAAAAACAAAAACCTAATAAAATACTCAGAACGACCCAAAGATAAAGGCTCATTCCTTATTCCATATGCCAGGACGAATTTGTACAAATACTCCTTTTTCCCTAGTGCTATTAGAGCATGGAATCAGTGGCCTGAGTCAGCCAGGAAAACCAATGCCTTGGCAGTTTAAGTTATTGATTAACATGCATGATTAGATTGGTCTAGGGACATGCGTAGTACGTAATCATCTTCTTTTTTGAAGTAACGTCTGATAAGATATTTACAAACGTATACTCTATACATTTGGCTCCAACTTAATAGCAGTAGTCTTTGGAAGGTATATTATAGTTGATACTCCCATCGTCTAAGTGGCTCAACTTTCCTCGAAATTGTCTTCATAATACCACAACGGGGGTGGGGGTGGGAAGGTCAGAGTCTTTTAGTCGAATGGCCTTACCAAGCTGAAGAGCTTAACATGCTCGAAGCAGAGTCTTTATGTCGTAACAGGAAAGTTGTAAAAGAAATACAATTTAAACATTTCTCAGATTTTTCACTACACAACTAGTTTTCCTGTATATTTTCCTTTATATATATATATTTATTTCAGTAAAAAAAAGTAAACGAACGTCAGTATATAAAGTTGTCCCTGATGTTCTAATCCTGACTGATTGTAATGCTTACCATTTTGTTTGGTTTTCAGGCGAAGGAGATCGAGTACGTTGTTTTTTCTGTGGTGGAGGACTTAGGGATTGGCTGCCAGGCGATATCCCATTGAATGAACATAAAAAATTATTTCCGAAATGTGGATATTTAGAATTGGTGTCTAATAATCCAACGTTGGAATCCAGTAAATCAAGGCTTTAAAAAGTTGACTATTGCCTTAGAATGTAATCTGATGGTTAGCAACTCTGTAAAACAGGCACATTGAGATGATGTATTTGAGACAGCTGGTTATATGCCTACTGGTCACTAATAGTCGCCTTAATTTACTGGTCAAACAAATATATTTTGGTGTGTGTGTGTGTGTGTATTTTTTGTGTGTGCAGATAACGGTGTTGGGGGCAGAAATGCTCATAACACACAAACAATTATACAATGAATGATGACTCAAAGTATGCAATGACAAACAATGTTAAAAAAAGAATCAACAACATCACCAAGTTATATAAACATGTATTATATATAATTACAATTATGTCATAATGTCTTGTAAATTACTGTGTACAAATACATTTTGTTTGTTTTGATCAATGTTACGAGTATCCTTTGTGCAGAGAAACATTCACCTCTTATTGTCATATTCAGTTTCAAATTTAAAAAAATGGTCTTGCTAACTTTAAACAATGACACAGTTCAGCTACTCTAATTATCATACTTATTGTATGATCGAATTACTGTATTGTTCTACATATTTTTTTCCACACATTATGAGCCTAGACAGCTGCTTGATCACTAGACATAAATAATTCTTAAAACGTTTGTTTTTTGTACTAACAAGGTTTATTTCCTATAGGACAAATGTCCTACGTGATTAGTTCCTAGCATCCTTCTATTTCAACTCTAACCTAAGACTATCTATTTCTTTCACTGCAGCTCCTACATAACATGGCACATGTACACAATTTATCGATCTATAATTTTAATTGGACTAATTATGTATTCAGATAGACTTTTCGAATTATTTTTTTTTTGATGATAAGTAAAATTAAAAAGATAATTTTAATAAAAATTTCACTAGAGGTATTTAGTGAACTGAATATATTAATCTTGGTAAATGTTAAATTCAATACTTAAACATTACCTAAAAGTAAAAAAAAAAAAAAAAACTTGCAAAAGGGAGAAATGCAGAATTGTGATACAGTGTGGATTCCGCAGGCATGACATGATTGAATGAAACTAGTACTAAGTAATCACAACGCTAACAAATGTGTGTACAAAACATGCACATGAATGTACATATTGTTTTGTTCTCTGCACTTTCCTATTTTAATTGCAAGTATTTTCAAACGAAAATCAATAATAATTATTAATAAACTAAAAATTTGGTCTAGATAGTCAAAACTCAATGATATCTCGGCGTGTAGGGTTTGCTGTTAGGTGTGCTGGGATCCGGGCAAAGTTTTATTCAGACAGTCAAAGGGATGCAACTATAAATATTTAAACTCAACAAAAGCTGTACTGATAGACTCTCTTGTTTTCAAAACTTATTATTATTTTTAAGTGAGTGTAATTACATATCCCTTATACGTATATTACCTTTTAGCATTTTACAAACACCTAAACAGATAAACACACAAACATCTAAACACACAAACACACAGAGATGTTCCACACGAAAGGGGCCTCCACAAAAGAGAAAATAATATCTCGGAATCTCGACAAGTCAAAAACGTTTACATGTTAAGTAGCACTTTCTTGTCTCGCACTATGTAAAAACCGTTACAGCTCCAGATTTACGACAGTGCGTCTACCAAGGACCTTACCTTCAACAAATTCAAACATATACACTTTTAAACAATGATAATATTAATATTAAATATTTAAAACCAAACCAACAGGAAAGTGACGAGATGAAATCTACAAGTAGGCCTACTTAGTTTCTTCTAAAACTTCACTCACACTTGCATATAAATATTTATATTCACTAGTAAATCTTTATTAGAACTTTGGAAATAATAAAAAATCTCGCCCGGGGTCTTAAATCCGGCCCTGCATATATATATATATATATATATATATATATATACACTTTTGACAATTCACATCCGGACTACTACGACCTGCAGCGGTATGCATGTATGTCCCCTACATCAAACAGAAAAAAATAGGAATACATCGCTCTGTCTGTTTACAATTTAGTGACTAGTTTTTAAATTAATTAAGCAGAAATTTAATGTCTAGACTGGAAATTATAGTTTAAGACTATAAAAAAAACAACCCAACCAGTGGCTTAGCAAGGTACCCGTGGGCCCGGGTTCAAGAATATATTGGTGCGCCCCCCTACTCCAATACGACGAGTGCAATGTGTGACAAAATCATCGAGTAATCTGAATGTATCGGTAAATTTTCCAAAAAAGCCGTTCCTTTGGATACATCAGCTGCGTGGAGAGAGGGGAACTGATGTGTGGGCGACATCGTTCCGACCACAGCTAATGCCCAGGCATTCATCTCACCAAGATGATCCATAGTCGCTTCGCGACTGAAGGAGGCCATATTTACCAAAAGACATTCCAATACAACTAGAGTAGAATAATCTTATTACGTTTGAAGTAGAACTCCAACACATTTTTGATCAGAAACGAATTAATGGTGTTTCAAATCTATAAAGAAATGTTTTATGAGATCTAGTTCCCATTCTACACATTTGCATTCCTAAAACACTTCTAGGTGTTTGGAACATTGATACAAACTAGTATCTAGCTCTAAGTCCATTATTTAACTGTAAATAGATGGAATATTTATTTACTGAACATCTCTATGGCCTTCTAAGAAGCAAAATAAGAAACCAGTGCATCTTTTTCTAAATGTGCGAGAGGCTTCTTTTGATGAAACAATGCCCAAAGGCCATTCTAGTCTCCGGTCAAATTGGAAGCACCACTGTAGCTTTAGTTTCGTAGTTTATTTAAGGATAAATGGGGAATTTTTAATTACTTGGAGCATTTGTTCAGCCAATTCTGCAGACGTCTGGTTCTCACAAATATGGAAACCTAGAAATGACAATCTAATTGCTGACATTTCTTTGGATGTTCCGTCATAGGAGATCCCTCAACAGTCTAGAAACAAAATAAAACGAATTTGATATCAACTTTTTATGTGTCTGAGCGCTGTCCCCAATGAAAGAGAAAAATGGTGCAGAATGGATGTCTTATAGTACCGGTATTTTGCCATAACTGCATTGCCCAACGGGTCTATTATTTCATTTTGAATCTGTGGGGCTTTGAGTTCTTGCCAAATGTCCATATTGATAACAATTTTCTGAGGTTTTTGTATAAATATAGTTAACTTACTTTAGAGCTATGAACCAAGTTTCAACCAAACAACAAGCAATGATCCGTGAAAGACACTATTCCATTCATTGAGTCACCTCTCTATCTTCTAGATCTTTGTTATAAACATTCGCCCCAAATCAGTCCCCTCATTCATTTCAATAGCACAAATATATTTAATTTTAACGATTCCTATGTAACATTCTGATGTTTCTCTGGCTTGATAAATATTGAATGTTATTTTCATTTTTTTAAAAATTTTATCCCCTTTTTATTCTGTTCAAATTGCATTAAGTTTTTTGTTTACACACTACAGAAGACAACAGAACAATGTGATGAAGACTTCCGGGAACAAAGCCGTTCTGAGAAAATGTTCTACACTATTTTACAGTGTCAACTTCGTCGGATTTCATAGAAATGGAAACAATCGTGACCGTTCAATGTCTACTAAACATTTTAGTAATTCAGCTAAGATCTTAATTACACCAACGTACCATTATGTTTACCGTTGTCCAATTGTAGCAATTTATTTTACAAAATTTTAAATACAATGCAAAATATAAACCAGATTAAGCTTTAAGAAAATTGAATAAGTAGCAGCTGTATCAAAATTTTAATTCGTGACTATCAGGACTATCCCTATAGACCTAATTGTTATTGTCGACCCCCTCTTCCCTTTTCCCCCTGTACAACACACCAGAATATATTGTTGACCTAACTCTTCCCCTACCCTCCTCTCCCACCATACGTGTCAATACGAACAATGGTTTTAGGAACATACAGGGAAAAAAAAGACTGAAGATATGGAAATGATGATCAACCTCAAACGCACTATTAGGTCTAGCTACCATTACAATTTACCTGATGGAATGTGGTTCCTTACAATAAAGCTAAAAACACTAATTAATGTTTTATTGAAGTTCATATACATTTTGGTACAACATTCAGACTATTTTGAGGGAGCTTTTTAAATTCTATTTATTATAGGTTTTTACTAAAGTGCATTTATTTTTTTCACTTAGGTGTCATCCCCAAGTTTTCATGGTGGTCCCAGCTGTTCATGAGTCAATGACCCATGGGCTATGAGCGTCATTGTTGCTACGCTTCAGGATGTGGGCCCCTAATGGCCGTGGGCACGGGTTCATTGAACCCCTTCGCGCCATGGATGCTACGCCACTGAACCCAACTCATCATGATACAATACAAATTACTTTTTCATTAGTTTTAACGGTCAGACTAAATATTAGTTCATTCAATCGTGGATATTTATTGATCAGTTTGTGACTTGCCAGACAAGCAAACATTTGTTTTAATTGCGTTTTTTATCTTACAAACTCCTCTCCCCCCCCCCCCTCCCAACCAGTACACAGGCAAAAAGGTTCAACGGAGAAGATAATAAAACACTGGCACATCAAGAGGATCTATTATCTCAAAACTTTTTATAATTTGGAATCTATGACAGAAAACAGTTCAACTTTCTTAAGTCCTAGAGTCATTCAGTTATCTTGAGCTCCCATTCTACCCATCGACCTCTTTTTGAAGTGCCAAGGGGAGGGAGTGCCAAGGGGAGGGAGTGCCGGGGGGACGAAAGAAAAAGTAGAATCTAAAAATGTTCACAAAATGTGTTCGCGTCTTAAAATTTTAAATTACTAGATGTTTTAATTTTGCACTTTTTTAAAGACATGAGAAAAAAAAAATTTAAGCAAATAAAAATGTCATTTATTTTGTTAAAAAAATAATTCTAGGCATACTTGTTAGTATAAAACTTTTAATGGTTATGTTTAGAACCTTATAAATTTATATATGACGATTTGTACGTACCAGCTATTTTACTGGATTGAAATTTTATTTTATTTTTCGCTCTAATCCTTTTATATCACAGCCCCGAGCGAGGATGTAGAGGGCACTCCCAATGACTTTGAATGATTAGCAGTTACTGAGTGATTAAACATGAACTAAAAGAGTGGAATATATCAACTTTTTATTAATAATTAAGGAAATAGTAGACTACTGAATGAGCATGGTCTCTCCCATAAATGGCAACATTAGTAAGACATCCTTAGGTAACAATGCTACATATGTATTTTATTAAAATTGTGCACTTTATAAAATACTCATAGATCAAAGAATAAAAAATAAACAGCTCATAAATAAATAAAATATTTGAAAATACATCAAAAGCAGAATATTGTAGCTTATTATAAATTTTGTTCTTTACATTTTGAGAACCACTGTCAAATTGTATCATACTATTACGAAAGATATAAATGAGTCCTAAAGGAAAAAATAAAAATCGTAACAGATACAATTCAAAAAGTGTTTCAATCACATTTTTACACCCTCGTGTTTGATTAATTTGCACCAGCACTCAGGAGGGACTTTTAAAGTTTCATTTAAGGTTAGTTTTTCTTTTTGTTTTTTTTTTACAAAAATGTCCAAAGTGTCCTGGACGTAATTGTATGTTGTAATTTTTGATGCTGTCATTTTTATACGAATTTTTGAAAACATGTAACTGTTGTTTAAAACACAACAGAGTGTGGAGTTCTTGTTGGACCATTGACAGAAGATGTTTTTACAAGTTCTGCTCCTTCTGCCCGTGATGAGCACCTGGGGAATTCCCACCTGGTACCAAGATGCCAGACAGTCTTTTATTGATGAGGAAAAGGCCATGAGAGTTGGCGCCAACATAGTAAGTTTTGTTTCACTTGCAATACCTATTTGTTCATCACTGCAACAGTTGAACTTACGACCTTATGAGAAAATAGTCCCCTTTATTGTCATAAAGGCCTACTAATCAGTTGACATA